GATTGGGACGCTCTACTGGATTTGACGTCGATTGCTCGCCGACATACTGAAGGCGGAAAGCTGCAAGGCCACGCAACGAGCATCTTCGAAAGTACCGCGTACAGCAGTAGCGCAGCTTCTGCCCCTGCTGCTAGCATGCCATCGCCCGTTGCAGCGCTTTTGAAGACCATCTCGCGCGTCAACCTTGCACCGGCTGCGACGATCTCACGGGCTGAAGCTAGTCTAGCGGCCGAGGGAGCCAATACCCGATTCGAGCAAGACTCTGTTCCATGGACGCCCAAGCTCGTCAAGTTGCTGCTTGCCCTCGCTCCTTTGTTGCCGGATGCGACCGTTGTGGATCTCATAAAGCACTTCAAGGCCCAGCACTTGTGCCTCCCTTGCGATCCCCGCTGGATACAAAACATTCGCGATCTGCTGCAAGCTTTCTTTCATAGGCACGAGCAAACGGCGCGCGATTTTGCTACCATGCCCGCTCCGAAAGCCAGAATAGAGCTGATTGATTTCATATTCAAGCATGTGTACGATATCCTCAAGGATTTGCCGGCTCAGAGGTCGGAATTTGTGCTTGAAATCGCTATTCCTCTGGCAAAGACGTCGCTTGCCAACGAAGCGGATCCTGAGGTCGCAAGCGCGATCACCGCAGTGCTCGTAGATGCTGCCGTTCAAGCGGGCTCGCTCCCCCCCGATCTGCCGGCGCCTGAGCACTCTGACGAAGAGTCTGCATCAGGACAGGAGAAAGACGAGCGGGATCCGGGTCCACCGTCGCCTCGCGAGCTCGGACAGCACGTCAATGAACGCCTGGCCGCTGTGGAGACGAGCAAATCGGAGCAAGTCTTTGTCGAGATTCGGCAGCTATTTGGACAGCTTGCCCGGGTCAAGGACTTGACTTCCACAGCTGCCACCGCTGCAAATCGAGCAGACGCCGGAAACGTTTTGACAGGCCATGTCTCGTTCGCCGATCCGCCTGGATCGCACGATCGACGCTCTGGAAGGGACGCACAGACGCAAACGCATTCACGCCATAGCAGCGTGGGCAACATTTCTGTTGGAGTCGCACCGACCACCGTACCTAAGCGCGCGCTAGCATCCGACAAGGCAGTGAAATCCGTTCTGGCCCTCATTGCCGTCTTTAACAGGATGGCTTTCGCGTCGTCGTGGACCTCTTTTGCGAGCTCTGCAGAGCAGGGTCAGTCTCGCAGGCATGCTTCAGGTCTCAAACAGACGCGTGCGAGCTGTTTGACCATCTTTCGCGACCTACTCAGGCTCTTGCAACCGCCCGCCTCGTTGCGCGGACGCACCGCGGAGAAGGAGAGCGGGACAGATTCAATGCAAGGGTCACCATCTTCTGCGGCTAGACTCGCTATCTTACAGTGGCTTCTGCGACTGAGAACTGACCGTCAGCATCGCATATACCTCGTCGCCGACGTAGACGAACTAGTGGAAGCTGCTGCCACAGCCTTGCAGCGCGGTCCAGACTCCACAGCCACTGGCGTCGGACCATGTTCTGCCAGCATGGAGAAGCAGATTTCCACAAGCTCCTCGACCAGACCTGGTAGGGCGAGCACTTCTGCTCGTCAAGAGCAGCGAGAGCCCAGAGGCGTGAACAGTTCTGTACAAACTTCGGAACGGTCCAAATCTCGAATTAGAGAGCCCTCGAGGGACAGGGGTAGAGCAAATGTCGAGTCGTCACGTCAAGAAGGTAGAAGAGAACGGAGCACCAGCAGAAATCGTAACCTGCCAAAGATTCCTGCCGGCCCTCCGCACCCTGCTGTCGAAGCTCAGGAACCGCTCTGGCAACTTCCACAGCGCCTGCACTTCGAAATGCCAGACTCGCACTTGCGAAGCGACGTGGTGTATACGTACATACATCCTACTGCTGATCCGCATTGTGCGCACGGCCATGCACACGGTCACACGTTCGATGACGAGGATGAGGCTCCAATACCGCTACCCGTGTCGGAGTATCTCGCTCTGATGGTGCGCATACTTGCCACTGATAAGGACTGGGAGATTGGATCTTACCTGATATGCCATCTACCGCATCAGCTCGCCAACAAGCATCTCTTCTGCGGACCTAAAGCAAGAGACCAGATCGTGGCTTTACGAAAGCTGCTCTGCTCTAGTATCCTGGAGCACGCATTGATGCCGGAGCTGCATCTGCCAGAGGAGGTCAAGCGGACGGACGTCTATGCGGTCGTGTATGCCACCTTGACGATTTTGATCAGCTACAGGACTCTGTTCAGCCGCTCGCAGCAGGACGAAATGGTGGAGGCTTTCATCGCTGGTCTCAACAAATCTCAAAACACCGCCCAGCCGTGCGTCAGAGCGCTTTCTGTCGCTTGCTACGAACTGCAAAAATCCGTCACACGATTCTTGCCTGCCATGCTGGTCAAGCTGTCCACCGTCATGTCTTCCACAGTCATGAGCGTGCACATTCTCGAGCTCATCGCCGCTATAGGCCACATACCTGCTTGCTTCGCCAATTTTACGGAAGCAGACTATCGACGTATCTTTGGCATTTCTCTGCAGTACCTTCAGTACCATAGCCAATGGCAACGTAGCATGGACTCCACGGACCGACAAGCCAACTCGACCACCAGCAGTGCGGAAGATCCACGCTCGAGTCCTGCTCAATTCACTCTCTCTCAGTACGTCATGATGCTCGCCTACTACAACATCAGTCTGTGGTTCATCTCTCTTCGCATCCCTGATCGGTCCAAACATGTGGCCTACATCTCTCGAGGTCTTCGAACTGCCAACGAAGGTCGCGAAAAGCTGGCTGATCAGACAGAGGTTTGCTTCGACTTTCTTGCGCGATTCACTCATTCCAATGCCGAGCCCAAACCAACCAGATCCTTCTTGAATTCCATCGTCATGGGCGGCACGCCCGCAGCTCTGAAGGCGGGAGGGGGACTTGCTACAAAGGATCCGAACGCAGTCGTCAAGAGCTGGCTGTTTGGCAAGGCGCTCGTGACGGTCTCCACGCTTAAAAAGACTGGTTGGGTCGAGATCGTCGTGCGTCGACCTTCGGGTACCGCTGCTCTGCTTTGCAAGCTTGAAAACGTGCCCACAAGCACTCTGCCGGATGAAGATGATGAGAGGATGGATCTGCCTGCTATGCTGATGATGCAGCGAGATCCCGACGCCATGTCTCGTCCGATCCTCAAAGCGCCCACACTTCAGCCTTCCGAGCGCGCAGATCGGCTCTCGCTTCGTCAAAGAGCGGAACAGCGGCTCAGATTTGGCGACGAGTTGCGATCTAGGCAGCCCGTCGGACCGCCCGCATCCCTCAGACCGCGCACCGGTCGCTCGGCTTCCTACTCCGGCGGCACCTCTGGCGACATGCTGATCAGGACAGCTCCTGTTGATCCGTACCGCATCGAAGCCGCCAATGCGGACTTGTCGATCGACGAGCCGCACAGCACCAATTTGCCGCGCACTGGGGGTCCGCAAATGTCGGCTACACCCTCATCCGCGGTCATGGAAGTCATCGACGATGTACTTTCTCCTACTGCCTTGTCGAAAGAGGACCAATTGGCCCACTTGAAACAGTCCAGTCAGGAGGCTTCGATAGGAGCTGCTGCGGATTCGGCTCCTTCAAGTGAGCGATACAATGCAAGCACCAAGCCATCGGCTAATCGGTCGACTCGAGACGCGGCCATCGATCCTGGCTTTGTAGCCTTGCAGCTCACGGCGTTCCCAGATATGAAGCTAGATGAGACGCCGCTATTGTTGCCCAATGAACCGGCCACCGACCGTCTTATTCGACACATGGACTTTACGCCAGTCGTGGATTTCCACAAGATTGGTGTGCTGTACGTTGCGCCTGGTCAGACGCAGGAGCAAGATATTTTGGCCAACGCGACGGGATCAGCAGCGTATGCGAGGTTCTTGTCGGGATTGGGAAAATTGGTCACTCTGAAAGGTCAAGAGGACGTGTACACTGGCGGGCTCGATCGACAAGCAGACGAGCACGGCAAGTACGCCTATGTTTGGGGCGACGATATCTCTCAGATCGTCTATCACACCGCTACTCTGATGCCCACAAGCGCGCAAGATCCCAATCACGGACACAAGAAAGCTCTCATAGGCAATGATTGGGTACACATCGTGTGGAACGAGGGCGGTGAAGAGTACGGCTTCGATACGATCCCTAGTCAGTTCAACTTTGTCAACATCGTCATCTCGCCAAATTCGCGCGGCGGTACCAACCTGGGAGCAGTGGCTCCAGACGATAGCACATTTTGTGAGTCTGCAAATGTCACGATGGCAGCTCGACTGCAAGCTTACCTGGTGCTGGTGCATCCACTCTTGCTTCTCCGCCACGCCACCTCCCTGCAGATCGAGTCTCGTTGCAATGCAAGCCCGGCTTGCCAAATTTTTCGCCAGTCAGCGACGGTCAACTGGTCTCTGCATCGGCATTGCCTGCCTTTGTGCGCATCTTGGCGCTCAATGGTAACGTTGTGAGCCAAATCTTTGACGCGACGGGAGCGACTTTGAGACCTTATACGAGCAGTGAGTCTTACAGGGACTGCCCGATCGTCGAGCTTTTCCCCCCATCACAAGACATTTGTGCTTGCATTGGCAATTGGAAGACTGAGCCTGGCCCCGCCTTGATCCCACCCCGCAGATTGGGTCTCCCGTTTGCAGCATCTTGGACGTGCGAGAGAAAAAGCATTGGCGCAAAGACGCGCCGCGGAAGCTCAACAAGGCACAGAATCCATCGTCCAGGAATTACGCTGGGTATGATCTGATTTCGCTCGGACCCATTCAACATTCAAGCTTGGGCTACGTTTCCTTCAAGCCACTCACCCACTTTTAGCATTCATGATTCGCGCGGCGTTCACGTTCACATTACGGTAATGTCATTCTTCCAAAGCGTACTTGCTTGCGCTACTGACCAGTCGAGCGTCATTGCGCCTCGTCATCTGGACTTCCAGTCATGTATCGAGGCCTCTCAGACGCGTGAATGAAAAATCACGCAGTGCCTGACGCGACCTACCACGTCCGATGATAGGTGCCATCAGCGCAGTCCGATCAGAATCATTTCCGAGTCCGATTGGTCCGCTTTCTGCGGCCCAGAATTGTGAGGGGCAAGGGAGTGTGAGACGGCATGCTTCAAGAAGCTTGAACAGGAGCCATCGCAGCTGCGAGAGAAGGTGTGCGTAGGGCAGGAGGCGATGGTTAGATGTGCACGCGCGATGACGGAGGATGAGGGTGTGGACGGGATGGTCAAGAGATGCTAATATTGGGTTGCTGCTTGCGAGTTGTAAAGTGTGGGCAATCAACCTGCTAATCTAGCAGCGAGCCAATCCAGTCCTTCCGTCACGCTGTGCCATATGCGTAAAGCAAGCATGTGTAGTCGAACGAAACAATAGAGCGAGAAAAGAGAGAGAGAGAGAGCCGGAAATGGGGACATGTAGGGAGCGTTAGTGACCTCAAGCTTTGCATGCCCTCTCATCTCATCTCGAACCTGGCCGCCCCTACCGGGCAACGTCAGAAAGGACCGAGGAGCGATTCTTGGCTGCTGCAAACGCAAACGCAAAACTCACCCTTTGCCAGTCAAGGCGGAACAACCTTGAATGTGCCAATCCCTCAATCTGAGCGCTGTCAAGTTTAGCGCGTCTGAGATCTCGGCGGGATTGAGGCAACCTTGAACGTCTTGTTTGTTCGCAAAGATGAGTAGCGGGGCAGTTTGAACTTGCTGCGATGCGAGGTTGAGGTTGAGGGGTGCGTAGGGATGATATGATGTCGGTATCAGTTGCGCAGCGGTACAGGCACAGAGAGGCAGAGGGGGAGAGGGGGAGGGGGAGGGACAGGGAGATCAAAAGACTCACTTCATCGCCTGCCACCCTGTGCAATTCTTGAAGTGCGACGGATATCCTCTCCCGATCTGTCGAGTCAAAGACGAAGACTACGCCGCCTTTGCCTTCGCCCAGACCTGCAAGGTAGGACGTCCAACTGGCTCTCAAAGAAGCCTGTCCTCCCACATCCCACAATATGAATGACAACTGTAAAATCGCGTTGCAAGGAGGAAAAGCATCAGCAATCGTCAACATCGTCATCATCCTCGTCGGCATCACCGTGCGCGCGCGCCTCATGACAGACTCACATTTTTAAAAGTGAATTGTTCCGTGTTGCTGCCTACTGTAGGGGCCGTAGCTACAGCTTGACCCATGCTCATCTGATAACACAATGTAGTCTTTCCCGCATTATCCAATCCCAATATACAAATCTTCAGCTCTTTGGATCGACCCAGCAAGGAGCTCCACAGTGTGGAGATGGCCAGTCCCATCGCTGCTT